CCCCCCCCCAGCCAAGGGGATGACCCCCTCCTGGGTGGAAGTGCCCAGTTGGAAGTGGGGGGGCAGATAGCACCCAGTGAAGAATAATAATAATAATTAATAATGATAATAATAATCAAAATGAAGAGTCCCAGCCCAGAAACGGCGCTGGCCCCGGCCGCTTCCGCCGAACGCCCTCTCTCCAAACAGCGCCTGGGGTTTCCAGCAAGGAATTGGAACGCAAATATTTATTTCTCCACGCTTTTAAAAAAGGGAAACTATGCGGCATCATCCGGAGCCGGCGGAAAGAGAGGAGGGTTCTGTCCCTCCCGCTCTCCCCCGAGCCAGGGGAAGGTTGCAGCCCCCCATTTCCCCCCCTGTCCTGGGTTTTTCTCCCCCTCCCCACGGCTGGAGGACCTGGAGGACCTCGGGAGGTTGGAGTAAGTTGAGCTGCAGCTTTCCCTGCCCTTAAGGGATGGGCAAAAGCAGCCTCCAAAAAGTCCAGCTGCTGCCCACCTCCGGGTTTAATTGCCCCGATGGAAAGGAAAGAAGGAAGGAAAAAGGATGATGAGGAGAAGCTGGATGTGGTCTCCTGGCTGAGGTTCTCCCTGCTCCAGAGGAGGTGGGGGGCTGATTCCATGGAGCAGTGTTGATTTCCCTCTGGAAAACCACCTGGGGAGGGTGAGTAGGAGGGTTTCACCCCCAGCTAAATCCAGGGAAAATAATGAAAATAAAAGAGGGCAGGGGGCTGGGATGCTGGGGTGCTGCTTCCTCCCCTTCCCAGAGCCAGTTCCTGCTGCCCCGCTGGTGTCATCAATAGTGGCTGCAGAGTCAGATGATCACAGGCAGCCCACAGCCCTGGCACGGAAACCAGCCTTTTTCGGGGAAAAAAAAAAAGGACGAAGGAAGGAAGGAAGGAAGGAAAAAGGATGATGAGGAGAAGCTGGATGTGGTCTCCTGGCTGAGGTTCTCCCTGCTCCAGGAGGAACCGGAGCAGCTCGAGGGATGGGGAAGCAACAAGGCAGTCCAAAGTGTTTGTCCTCTTCGTCCTGGCTGCTCAAGGTGCTAAAAATAATAATAAAAATGATAAAAATAATGAAAATAAAAGAGGGCAGGGGGCTGGGATGCTGGGGTGCTGCTTCCTCCCCTTCCCAGAGCCAGTTCCTGCTGCCCCGCTGGTGTCATCAATAGTGGCTGCAGAGTCAGATGATCACAGGCAGCCCACAGCCCTGGCACGGAAACCAGCCTTTTTCGGGAAAGGATGATGAGGAGAAGCTGGATGTGGTCTCCTGGCTGAGGTTCTCCCTGCTCCAGAGGAGGTGGGGGGCTGATTCCATGGAGCAGTGTTGATTTCCCTCTGGAAAACCACCTGGGGAGGGTGAGTAGGAGGGTTTCACCCCCAGCTAAATCCAGGGAAAAGCAGCTGGGATGAGAGGGGCAGCGTTGGGGAGGGAATCAACCCCCCCCCGAGCGTTTCCTCCGCTCCAGTTCATGCTGCAACCCCATTTTTTTGTCACTCCCTGTTTGGGAGGCACAGCACGCACCCACCCTTAGGTAGCAGGAAGACGCTCAAGAATTTGTCTTTCTGAGAAACCTTTTATTTGGCACAATCGATGCTAGCGGGTGGGGGGGTGAGGGCAGGATACAAGTGCCCCCACTATCTGCAGGCGGCCATCCCTTGCTCTCCCAGAGGAGGTGGGGGGCTGATTCCATGGAGGAAAGCCATTCCTTCCTCCCCCTACTGAGAAAAGCCTCGAGTACAGGCTGCCGCCACACAAAGCTGCACTGGGAGGCAGGGAAAAGGGAATTTAAGGAAAGGGAATTTAAGGGGGTTTTTTTTGAGGGGGGTTTGGTTTTTTTGTTGGTTTTTTTTTTTTTCCTCAGTAACACGTGGGTGTGGAAAGCCCGGCCTTTGGATTTACAGCAGCCTGCTGCAAACTTTAATATTTTATTTTATATTTATTTTTGATTGTTGTTGTCATTACTAGAAGCGGCCTGACCACAAAAAAAAAAAAAAAACAA